GCGTGCTGATACACGTGTGCTCTAAGCTCCGCCCCCTTATGGTCTCAGCACTTGAGCAGCCTTTTCCACAGTGCCTGTGGTCATCGGGGCCCTCGGGGCAGTCACCCCCAAACTGGAGCAGTGGCTAAAACAGATCCCAGGAACAACATCAGACATCTCAGTCCAGAAATGTGCAGTTCTAGGCACAGCTAAGATACTGCGCAGAACCCTCAAGCTCCCAGGCCTCTGGTAGAGGACCCGAGCTCAGAGGATGAAAGAGAGTTTTTCGTATATATATAGTCATATWTATGAGGCCTCTCAACTGCATCAACAGATTTCAACAGTGGACACAGTAGTGTGGAGAGACAGTGACAGAGAGAAGCAGAAGCACAGAGACAGGCCAGGTTGTTCTCTGTGTTTCCTGTTGTTGCAATAAAACTCAGCTGATCATCTCACGGAGTACCTTCATTCTTGGACCACATATTTCTGTCTTTGTTAAATAAATATTGCCATAACATTGCCAAAAACTTATAAGACTGCAGGTGACTTTTAAAAACCAGACAAAAATTGAACCATATGTTCTAGAGGCCATCTGATAAACCYACCTTTTTACATTGATTTGATCACAAAAATCAATGCCTTTTGACAGATAAAAATATAGTCATAACATATAAAAAATAGACCTCTTTAGACAAACCCAGATGTAATTAAAGCTCTGTGAAATTATTGTTATTATTCAGAAAACAAAATTAWATGCAGCATACGTTTAAAGAAAATATTTGTCGTATCCTTGCAGCAGCACTGTTCAAGTTTTCCTGAGCGTCCTGTAAAACTTCCAGCTTCGTTAACATTTAGTGGATTCTAAATATTTAATTTAAAAAACAGAACAGTTTTTGCCTTGTCTAATTCCCCCAAAAATATAAAGAGATAAGAGGGGTATCATACATGCAAATTTAGGTTTCCATGGCCGCATCGACAGGAAGTTAGAAGTTGCTGTTTGTGCATCTTTGATGATCTTTAAATCTCATTTAATTTGTGCAGATGCCTCCCACACACCTGCCTTTTAAAAACAGGCACAAGGAAGTAATTCCTTCCTCATTTGCATCTCTACTTAATGCAAATATTGCATGTAGAGCTGCAGACATATTTGCATTTTTAGCCAAGTTGGACTTTACTGTACATAATTACACAATGTGACAGTGAAATTATCAGAAAGCACAAATAATGTTCAGTTCACAAATCACTTCACAGTTTTTCAGACACATTTCTACCACACTGTGTCACCTAAAGGGTTCATTTTATTCATGCGGTTTTCTTCACTTCAAGTGACAACTTTAATAGCAGCAAGAACGTTAAATTAAATGTTAATAAGTTGATTTTTTTTTACACATTTTAAGGTCATTTATCACACATTTGTTGTTGTTTTGTGCCATCTGGTGTTCAAGGTCCAAAATGTATTCATCGTCCACGAGATGTTTCACCATGACAGGAGCAGGTGGAGGCAGCTGCAGAGACGCCCCTCTCTCTCTCTCTCACACACACACACACACACACACACACACACACACAC